ACTGGTCCATCGGAAACTGTAGACAACGCGCAATGAATGAAAACTGGACTCCCCACCCCACCCTTTCCCCTCTCTCCTCTCTATATGTCTGTCACTCTCACTCGCTCTCTCCCTCCATTCCAACTCTTCTTGTCTGCGACGGAAATCAATATGGGAGTTGTGATCCTGTCGATAAGTGTAATTCATTGGCGCGGCTCCAGCCAAGGCTCCAGCCAGCTGATGTGCTGGAGCGCTGCTCCGTGTGACGGGACGCTCAGCGCCGCTCAGCGCCGCTCAGCGCTCCACGACCACTATCTCCTCCTCCTCCCACTGGCCTGGAGGCTGATAGTGCCGCCTGTTCACAAACCGCGAAGCTGCTGCTCCTGCTTTGCTTCTTCATTACTGAACACCGTTTGATGTGCCCCAGCTCCATAAAACGCTTTTCAGCTGCGGCCGGAAGTTGAATACCTTCCAGCAGGATGCTCGCCATGCCGTGCAGCTCCGCCACACATCCTTATAGCAGGAATTAACTGCCGTGCACAGGGATTACACCGCACGCATACCGATTCTATAATTAGTGGTGGCTAACTTTTACCGCGAGGCCCTACCGCGAGGCCCGAGCCCAAACAACGCAAACTGAGAAATCCCCATTGCGAAAGAATCTGTTTGTATTTTTGAGAGATTTGGCTGTTTTTGTGCGTCTGCGAGGGAATTCTAAAATGTGCTTGGATCCGAGCGCATTTGGTACTTGAATCAGGCGTATATTCTTAGCAAATTTGGGATGGCTCGGCTAACTAATAAAGTTGCTAGTTAAAAGCTAAATTAGTTCCAAAGATGCGGTTGAGAGTGTGCTCAGCGATTCAGCGCAACAGGTTTCAGGTTTAGTTCTTATAAGTTCTCGATTTTGTCGTGATAGGTTGGCAGCGAAACAATAAACGTCGTACGTCAAAGATAATCTGCTTTGACACTAACGTTACCGTTAGTGTGTTTTTCTTCTCATTGAAATGTCGCGGGATCAGGCTCAGGCGCCAAACGAAGCACGAACGACCCTAGAAAGCCCGTGCAGCACGGCGCCTATGGCGTCCCCGCCGCGCCCCGTCGCCCCAGCGGCCAGCAGTCCTTCTAAATGCACTTCTAGATGAGCCATAAAGCTGCCAGGCGCCATCTAGCGCCGTCTAGCGCCGCACGCAGCGAGAGGCCGAGCCGAGCGAAGCAGAGAAGGGGCCGCCTTGGGCCGGCTTGGGCAGAAGTGGGCTGGGAAGCGAAACCGAAGCGTCTCTCGTGTCACTCCTCTTAATTAAGCGACGGTCTACCTTCCCAAACAACCCGTAACCCCCCTCCCCTCCCCCCTCCCAGTAACCTCAACGCGGGAAGCGCACAGGCGTAACTGTCCCCGTCCCTTTGTTGTTGTTTTTTCCTTTATTTTTAATTTCCCCCCCCCCTCACGCACTCGTCACGCGCGTGACTGTCACGCTCCGTCACGCCCAGCACGTCACGTCCGCCTGTCCGCCCGGCCCGCCAGCCGCTAGCACGCCACACGTGTTCAGAGCGTCGACAAAGGCGCCTAATACACAGCAATTCCAAAAATGATTACAAAGTTTGTCATACTCGTTCAATGATGCTGCGAGTGTGAGCTCGTGTCAGAGAAGCCTATGTAGGCTAAACATGGATGCCAACGTGGGTTGCTTTATCGTCCACTAACCAACCATGCACTCTGAATGTAGGCAACCCACATTCGAAGCCATGTTTAGCCATTACCAGGTGGCTGATCACTTTTGTAGTAATGCTGCACGCACGAGTGCGGGCGGGTTGCCTACTCGTAGGCAAGCATAACTACAGAAGTGAGCGGGGTTAATCAGCCGCCTGGTATATATACAGGCTTCTCATAACACCATTGAAGAAAGGGTCACAAACTCCTCAATCTTTTCCTGAATCCGAATGGAAAAGGTAAGGTTTGGAATAATAGGGCGTCGGAGCCGGAGCGTCGCGTCTGCTGCGGCTCAGCCAATCCAGCGGCGGCAGCGGCGGCCGAGTCGTTGACCCCTCCCCCTCCCTCACCTGCCGGCGCGGCGTCCAGCGGCAGAATGGCAGGCCCGCGGCCCGCGGGCGCCCGCGCCGAGCCGCGCCGAGCCACGCCGAGCCACGCCGAGCTACGCCGTGCCACGCCGCCCCGCCCCGACGCTCAGAGCTGGCTGCCCCAAGCAGAGAGGACCGCGCGCGGCTTCTCCCAGAGGCACTAAGCCCACCGTCACGTCGCGTCACAGAAAGAACAAAACGAAAATTAACATCAAGTTTGAATTCTCGCGGAGGTTGGAAATCACACAAAGAGACAAATAAAAACACAACACTGCAGTGAGGGGCTCCTCAAGACTGGCGTGCGTTGAACGAAAACCGCTAATTAAAAGCAACTTTTTAAATGTGATTTTAAAAAACCGACTCGCTTTCGGTGAGGAAATTCCGCTTTGATTCGTGTTCCATTCAAACATTAACACTATACACTCTCAACATTTCTACTAGAAAATTTCCATAGTAACTCCTACTGTTGTACCAGGTGGCTGACTCACGCCGTGGAGGGAATTCCGAAAAAGAATTTCTTAATAATGTTACAACAGCACAAAATTTTAGTAGTTACTAGGCAAATTTTCCAGTATAAATTTTAGAGTGTAAAGATATGATGCGGATGTTTGCACCATGTTGCTTACATTTTACACATTTTATCACCAAATAATGTCAGCACTATAATAGTATTTTTCTCTCAATGGAATGGATGCGCTCTTGTGCACATCTTGGCCAGAGGCAAATATTATACATCCCAGAAAGGGAATCCGGGTCACTACCGACCAAGTGGCAACAGTACAGTACGGCATCTCTGGTTCGGACTGTGCACAAGAACTCATCTTTGTCAATGTAATGCGCGGTGCGAAAGGCAACAAGTGTCGTCGTAGGTTGGCGAGACATTGAAGGAAATCAAAATCGACAAAATCACAAAACGAGCCACCCCTCAGCAACCTCACCCATAGCAAGGACCGTAAGTAATGACTAAAATAAAGCGAGAAAAATGACCTCGCCCTGAAGAAAGCGAGATATTTTTTGGTGCACCGATCCTGCTTTCCTGCCCGCCAGATGTATCTGACTCTAGTATTTACGGTGAATTCAACGACCCCGTTGAGGAGGAATGCGGAGAGGGCGACCTAGCCCTCGGCTCGACGTGGCCCTGAAAACTGTGCCACTGATAAGAACCTGCGACGACGCGTACAATCGAGTGTATGGGGATCGAGATCGGCTTCACGCTAATCCCCACAGCGGATCCCGGCGGATCCCGCCTGGCCAGACGGGCCAGGGCGTCCCGGCAAGCCAGAATAATATTATCGCTATAGCTCTCAAAAACAGATGACGTCGAGAGAAAGCCTCCCAAAGAGATTGCAGACGTCTGAGACGTCACACGCACATTACCACTATAAAAGTTCCACGTTCCTTGAAAATAGAACAGTCACAATAATCAGTCGGTACAAAAGTTTGCATTCACCACATACATGTGTGTAATTTCCTGTGAGACATTTTGCGTATACAGACCACTTTGGTAACACGCGCAAATGTACTGTACCAGACCAACACAGCCGAGCATACATTACACATACAAAACATACAATACACCGTATCGGGAAATACACGGGAAAATCCTCGGATGTTCGGCAGTGTACAAAGTAACGTGCCGCTCCGACAGGCCTGGCGCTCCGCACCCACCGACCAGGACTAGCCAGTCACAGGAGAGCGGCATGAGTCTGAAAATGACATCACCTCGTGCACACACACACACACACACACACACACACACACACACACACACACACGGCATACACATAACAAACAACGTACGCATATAGACAAGTATGTGTGAGTGGCTGGGCCGCAGAACTGAACCTTATATCTTACGGTATGTACGCACACATATGTGTACTTGGGTTGGGGTTGAGCCGGAAGTTGGGGGAAAGAAAAGAAGCCCGGCGGGCGAGGGGAAATGGAAATACGCTGAGGGCAAAGTATGGAAGGAAAAAAAATTACGCCCCCCCCCCCCCGCATCGTCCAGGAAGGAATACGGCGGCAAGGAGACTCTGGCAGTAGTAGTGCTGCCGAGCAAAAGTCAGTTAGTTGCATGAAACGTCTTGTACACAACTTCACACTTCTAAGATATCTAGGAAAAAATGTTGCTTTTTAGGGATCGTCACCTCAAACCGCGCCTTGGATGTGTTTACTGTAAAAACCTGTTGCCTTCCCTCAGAGATGGGAACGCCTAAATTTCGGCTATGCGTGCAGTTTGGCTGGCCACAGAGTTTACAGTGTCCGCACCTGAAAGCATTTAAAGCATTTGCCGTGTCATCCGAAAACAAGCCGGCTATTTTGGCTATTTATGTAAATAATTGTTATTTTTTTTGTTTTGCGTTATTTGGGGCCAGCCTTTTCCCATCGACGCGGTATAAAAACAAAGACGGCGGCACAAAAGTATTTGAGGCCCGCGCCCAGTCGCCTCGCTTATCGGGGCGCGAGCGAGCAGGGGGCGGGGCTTAAACCAGCAAAAGGGGCTCATAGTCACGGCCATGCCATGATCATATGGTCCTGGCCATTTGCTTTCGCGGAGCTAAATTGCGACTAAATTTCCCACCCTATCGTCACGTTTATGTAGCGCCTAAACTAAGTAGCCGCATATTTCGTTTCTAGATGAGATGTCGATGAGTGACGCACAAGTCGTTTGTGCATTCCCCCTCGCCGCTGTGTGTTGTACAGCTTATTAGGTGTGCTTGTCTCTCAGACACCATGTGACATGTGCCGTTTGCGAACGGGGTGGGATGAGAAGGAGGAGGGGGAAGAAAGAGAAGGGGACAGGAGAGGGAA